GATAGATAGATAGATAGATAGATAGATAGATAGATAGATAGATAGATAGATAGATAGATAGATACCCTCTCATATAATTTGGCAAGAAATTCAGAAAATCCAGACTTTAATAAAGGAGAGTGGGAGTAACGCAGGAAGCCCTAATGATCCACGTACAGAAGACAGTGCTAAAACTGTGGGTCTACATGAGACAAGAAGGTCTTAACAGAAATACAGCAAGAAAACACTGAATCTGCTCTGATATAAGGGCAGGAGATGTCTAATGCACTCTCCCAGAGTATTAATAGAGTCTCAACCAAGAGTCTGAACAATACTCCAATGAAGTTACAGTTGACCAGTTCAATATTTTGATGCCTTCTGAAGTTACAAAAACAGAAGTATGTCAGAGCTAATTTTCAGGGATAATAAGAGAAGAAATTATATTTCCATTATGATCTTCAGCAATACAAAAACAGCAGTTACTCCAAGTGCCCACTGATTCAGCATCTTTTAGGGAAAAGATGTTCAATCTCTTAAGTATAAATTATAAATTATATATTTACCAGAGAGAATTGTATCACTTGGAAGCTTGCTGTCCATAGTATAAAGAGGACTAAACTTGTTTACAGATAAAGTGAGCATCCAATAAATGCTTAATGCCACTTCTTGGTATTTTCTATCACAGAAAATTATTAACAATTAACTATTAACAATTGATTCAGGGGGGGGAACATCATCACATCCTTTGCACAACAGCTTCTCTTGCCATGGAATCCTACTTATCATTACTCAGAGTTCACTAAAGTCTGCTTATCTGAATTCCAAGGCTTTAGCTGTCCTTAAAATCAAACCACCCAACACTACATAATCATTTTCCCCCAAAGTTCCCACTGCTTCTACCATCAACCATCACCTCTCTTGGTTAGGGTCACATCAAGAACAGTTGATCTGCTTGTCCCTTCATCTACCTCTGAAGGAAAAGGTTGTCAGCAAGACAAGTCAAGAATTCCCTGGAAGGAGCATGCTTGACAGAGTTTGTCTCTCAACAGTTGTAAGGCTAATTACAGTTCTCCATCACTATTGCTACTTGACTCTTTCAGACATCTGCTTTTGGAAGGCACCACATTTTCTCCTTCATTGAATGGTCAGTAGTAAACACCAAGAACAGTTTTGTATTTATTCCTTCCTCTAATTATTTTAACCCAGAGGTTCTTAATAGTTCCAGCAATGTCTATGCAGATGTAGATATTTTTAACAAACAATGCAATTCCTCTTCCCTTTATTGTTTTTGTTTCTTTTGAACAGGTTTATTCTTCAGGAATTATATTCCAATCATTAGAACCGTCAGGTCTCAGTTATACTATTAAATAATATTTTCCTTTACGTAGCAGGAGTTCAAACTCATCTTGTTTTTTTTCCCTAAAGCCTGAACTGTATAGATTATAAACTGTATGAGTTAATATCCCTCTTGATTGTTCATTGACTGGTTTCACAGACCCAAATATAGTTACTTCCTCATTTATTTCTGCTGTGCACAAATCCTTATCTGAAATTCTTACTTCTGGATTTGAACAATTGCAGAAAGCTGCACATACTGCTAGTGTTGAAAAACAACTAGCAAAAGTGAATTGTTTCTGACTTAAATCCAACCATTCCCTATATTCCACATGATTCTGAAAAAGGAAGTAAGCCAAAAGCAAGCTTTTACTTGTTATTTAAATCATTAATATAAAAATATCTTCAGGGCACAGTAATTAGAGCACTTAGGAGAAGATAATTTGCTTCCCCAGAGACAGACACATACACAACACCTCTTCTAAGTTGCATCATCAACACATTAACCAAGAAGCATTCTGTATTTTTCCTTCTTTCCTTGATTAATTTTAATGAAATCTATGAATTCTAATTATTAATGCTTCATTGCAACTATTTAGCAAATTAATAATATCACAGCCAGAAAATGCACATATACACACATGAATTTGTCAGACACTCTTCTTTAATAACCAGTTAGTTGCTTTTAAAGTAAAACCTTTAATTCTTTACATGTTGTCTGTCCTAACAAAATTAGAATTAGGAAGAAACACAAGTCAGTTCAACATAATAGGTTCCTCTGACAAAAACACTTCAGAATGTCTAAATGAATTTTAAAATTCATCTTCTAAAGCATAATGTTCATTGTTGAATAATTATCCTTTTCTGCTCGACAATTTTTTTTGCTCCTGTAATGTACAAGATCATTAAAGTGTTTAACAGCTCCATCATTCAAGACACTAGCAATTAATAATCCACTATCTTTCCTGGCAAATATGCCGATAGCTGAACATAATACAAAACCCCCAACATTCTGCTGACAAACAACTCTCTGTTTTTAATGATGCAATGACAAGAATTAGGAAAAGTCCCTTTATCTCAGTTTTAATATTATGTAATTTTAAATACTGTGAGGAATAATCTGTCAGACTGCAGTAGGGAAAACATGAGCAAGCTAGTTTAAACAAGCATACAAGAACTAGTTTCCCCCACTCTCACAAAAAGGCAACACCCTGGTAAAGAAATTCACCTAGTCTCAGGATCTGACCACCCGCTTTTATGTACGATATCAGACATCACCTAAGCCATAATGTGGTTTAGCACATGTTAACTCGGTCACTGTGGTTTTTAAGTCACATTGAGGCTTATTACCAATTGTGGCTTCCTCAAAAACTCTAGTTAAATAAGCCATGGGTTAACATAATATCTAAACCAGGTAATCCTCAATATCTTCTTAGTTTAAGAAACTTAATCTTCCACCAAAATTCTCAGAATTAAGGGACGCCAAAGAAGATCAAATGTAAGAAATACGGACCAACAATTCTACTTCTCCTCTATGAAATATGACCAAGTTAGTATGAAGGACTAAGATGGACTTGTGGGGGGGAGGGTTATAAGAAATCACAAAACACAAAGCTCTGCAACATATGCCCTCTCGTATGACCCCAGTGCACAGAGGAGGAGGATTCAAATACAGAACACTACTGCTGAAAGAGAACACAGAAGGCGACAGGTGAAGGAAATTCTTAGGTGCCCACTCCTATCCCGAAGCTAGGTTCATACAATAGGCTAGGTCATTGTTTGTTTAACCATAGTTTATTAATAAATCCAATTGGTTTACAGAAACTCTGTGTCAAAATGAAGCAAGCCACATCACGATTTTGCAGAATGTGCAAAATCCAAAGTTACTTCAATGACAACAGCTAAAATTACTTCTACTCCTGTTAAACGAAGTAGACATTGGAATTCTTTGTTCATAAGAACTAAAAATTAAGATGGAGCCCTTATTAAAAAGGAGGGTGAAGAAAATGAAGGATTCAGAACTAGTTTAAAGGAAGTTAAAAACTGATTTTAAAATAAGAAAACTGTAATACAGCATATGTGAACTAAGAGTGAGCACAGGAATTGTATTCAGATCAGACCTAATCTAGCATGTTAGAAAATAACCTGATTCAATTCAGACTAAAACAGAACTTTTGGTTTAGTTTCAAGGGCAGTATCTAAGTGATTAGTGTTTCCCATTAGCTAATGTATAGCTACAGAGGTGGCTGCAGACTAAAATAATTAACAGATTAGCATGAATTGATGGTACTATAGGAAGAAGTGGCAATCTGTCTCTTCCACAGAATTGTAAGAACCAATACTGCCAGTGATTTTGTTCCTAACATACTCGGGTACTTAAGTCTCAACCCTTCTTTAGCATATCCAAACACCGCACACTAAAACCACACATCAAGCAAAAGCTAAAGATATCCACTGATGTTTCTGATCCGTCCTTGCAGCCAGTTGCCTTTCCTTGCCAGCACTACTGACTTAAGCCACACCCATCCAATTCCCCTGACTATGTCTGTCTCCCTTTGTTCTCTACTGCCCCACAATCATTAAATTATCCACCCTACATCTCCGCTGGGGCACATCTTCCTTCCCTGCTGTCAACTGACACCGACTTGCTCTTTCCCTCCCCTGCTATATGACATCCACTTTCCTTTTCTCTGGTGATTCCCACACTGAACTCCCTCAGCCAAAACATGCATGCTTGGGGTCCTTGTCTGGACCAAACGCTAACATTTCAGTCTTGGTACTGACTGCTTGCTCCTGCCTGATCATATCCCTATCATTAATCTAGAATACCTACTTACCTATCAGATTTGAATTCAGGAAAGGAGTGGGAGATAATCCGCTGGGTCCTAATCGATTATCACTCAAATGATCACCATAGGAAGGAGTATCTGTAAAACCCTGTGGGTAAAGAACAACATTTAAGCTATTATTTTGCAGCTCTACTTATTAAGTTCAAATAAACTTTCCCAATTAAAACATGGATATACAGTAGGTCATTGTTCCTGAAATTGGATTTTAAATTTGGACCTCACAGAGAATATATGTAAGCTAAAATTACCATTTTTAAACTTCCACCATACTGTAAAGACTATAGTATTATTCTTCATAAATGAACTGAATTTCAGGTGATGAGGCTCAAATAGGTTCCATAAAACAACTGCATATTTAGTGATTTTTAATTATACCATTGGGCGGTTGCAGCTCCTTATGCTGAATGTCAATTCTGATAGGGGGCAGGGACTTCATGGGTGGGTACATGCACGTAGAGGCAGCTCAGAGATTTCTGGTTATGGCAGCAATGATGCTAATGTAGAGTGCACAAGGCTGCTCTCAGTTCTCCTGGCAGCAATTCCAGGAACACAATGCCATCTGAACACAGACAGACTTTGTAACAGTATTGTTAACAATCGTCTTTTGTTAACTGTACCCCTCCTTTTGTCCTCTTCCAGTATAGCAGAATCAGGCCCACTCAAACGATCCAATGTACACATCAAATACGTTCTGTGCAATGGTGCCGGGGCACCCAGGGGCCTTTGGCTAAGACTCTGTGCCATCATAGTTTAGGATACTTAGGGCTCCTCTAGGCTGCCTAGCATCTATGTGAAACTGTATAACAAAGTCATTGGGTGGTTTGGAGTGCTTTATCAAATGTATAGTAGTGGTTCTTCAGTCCAACTGAGTCAGATTCAAACAATATGCTTGAAGAACCTTAGTTCATGTGACTGCGGTGACCCTTTTTTAAAAAATCGCTTTAGGCTCTCTTCTAGCTAGTATAATTTGGAGATGGACAACTCAGCCACAGTAATTCATAAGCTAGTAACTTCTTATTTGGACTGTCTTACCACATTAACTGGCTTGAATGTATTACTCAACCATTTTAAAGATGGATAGGGGAAAAATTTCTCTGTGTATTAATATCATTTGGCTACACCACCTTTGAAATTCCAAACCTCAACAAGCCCCCAAAGAATGTCATCCAGTAGTCTACTTATTTTCTTTCAATATATGCATCTTGTATCAAAATTAAAGGAAGTATTTGCTTAGACCATGTTGTTCAGACTCAAGATAGAAAAACTGCACACACAACAGCAGAAAAAGTGACAAATTATTCTATTATTGCTCCGACTCAGTTTCTACTTTATTAGACAACTAAATACTTTTTTCTAGGGAAAATACCTGAGGGAGAGGGTAAGAAACAAAGGAGAAGGCTACTGTTAATTGTTATCAGGATCTCTGCAGAAACCTTCATTTCATGTGTTTGTTTCAAATTCTTTGTACCAAAATGTTAAAGAACATCTAAGAGATACTGAAGCAAAAGAGAGAATTGTTTCAGCCTCCAAAACAAGAAATCACCAGAATCCCAGAGGACTAGAAATCATCAATCACTGAACATTTATCATTTTCCAGATTGGGGCTTGCACTGAAGGTGACATTAATGGGACTGAAACAGGTCACCCTATCTTTGCAATTGTGCTGTCAGTTCAACCACAAGGCCAGCAACTAAGGATCTGTCAAAACCCTACAACTGCTCAGGGATGCATGTCACAACTTCCTACTATGCTCGTCTTCGCTTTTACCTTTCGGGAGGCCCAGAAGATTCCTCCACTTTATCCACTTCAGAATCAGCAACACACACATGACAGGCACTCAGGAAAAACCTTAATGACATTGGTAACTTGCTTAGGACCATAAGGGTGTCCTCTAGCAACTGTGACCTGGTCCCATCTGACAGGCAGCACAGAAAATGAGATGCTCCCAACCAAGATCACAGTATACAGTTTCTTTTATGTTCAAACTCAGCACAATGTTTTAAGAAGAAAATATTTTGTACAGAACACATCTGTAATTTGCAGTCTTTTAGTGGCTTCCTATATAACTAATGTGATAGTTTGGGACTAACGGAACACATCCCCAATTTTCATCATTTAAAAAAAAAAGAAATGGACAGTTAGGCTTAGTTTTTGGAAGCTCTTCTGGAGAACATTTGATAGTATGCTATTACCACCTTTATTAGTAGCAATCCTTTATTAATGTAATAATATCAGTAATTAATATCAGTAGTATGCATAGTAGTATGCATATGTATTATGTAAATTGGTTAAGTTTACCCCATTTGTTACGTCTTTATCCTATATTTTTATGTTGGAGGTGTTAAATTGTTGATTCTATATTGTAGATTTTTGCTGTTGATTGTTACTAAAAACACTGTAAGTCTGTAACTGAGTAGGTGTAATATAAATGGAATCAAGAAATATCTGCCTATTACTTCATCTATCTAATCCAGGATTATCCCATCTCTAAAAGCAGGCATTTCAGGAATCCAAGCACCGTTACCTGTCCTTCCCTCTTCAGCCACCAAGACTTCCAGTCACCTCCATAAAACCTGGCCTGGGTTCATCCTGATCGCCAAGATGAATCCAGGCAATACCACAGGGCCAGATGCTCAGCCTACCAAGTCAATGCACAATTCCTGAATTGTAGCCTTTCCCCTGTGCTTACCCTATCTGAGTCTATCTACCCCTTGACTAAAATAGAGCTTCCTCCATAAGACCAGATGGTCAAAAGGCAGCCAGAAAGGGAAGCAATTGCTGCAGCCGTAAGATATTTCTCCTCTGCAAGTACCAGGGTTAGCTAAGCACTTAATGGAGCCACAATAAGCAACATTTGCAGCAAGGGACAAAAAGGACAACAGGCCTCGCTTTCTAGCAGAATTCTCTCACATGCGTACTAGTACTGGGGTACTATTTCTTCATTCTACTGATTTACTGCATTTTGTAGAGTCAGGAAAGCTTCCCATTTGATATTTCAGGTAATGTATGTATGTTTGTATATATAAATATATATGTAAACATATAAAGGAAGAGAATCACACACACACAAGAAGCAAACCCCACCTCCTCATGTTTCAGCTTCTCCAGAGCTGTTGAGATATCTGAGCTTTTTCCAAGAAGGCTGCCATTTTCCTGTAAGAGAAAAAACATTTAGGGTGATCAATGAACCTTTATACTTCTAAATGAACAAAAACAACTATAATCATAAGAAAACCAACTAATAGGCTGGTCAGTGGCCTGTTTTGGGGAGTAGCTTATTTCATGAATAACTGTACAAATTATTTTGGCAATATACTTGGTGCTCTCAGAGAAACTAGCAATCTGAAGCACCCATGCAGCCTAAGACCCATGCTGTCCTGATGTACAGCTATAGCTCCTGAAGCCTTATAACCCACTTATCTCAAAGAGCACTTGCTAACCTTTCAGAAAAGAGTATATGAACTCTCATGAAAAAAAAAGAAGCTATAATCAGGACTTAATGCTGTAGTGCTGGCCACAAATATCTAAAGTGCAGGTGAGATTCCCCTTGTATTAGCTAGCTAGGGAGACGTTACAATTCTAGTTATCAAAATACTCTTCAAGTGAGTTATGGTTGTCATTTTTTGCTTGAACTTTCTGAAATATATTCTACAAGAAGGTTGATGAACCTCTAGTCCAAAGTATGCCACTGAATTAAAATTTCTTAATATTCCTGATGATTAATCATAATAATCAAGTCTGTTGCGAATTGTAATTCAGAAACATCTGAAGGGACATAGGTTCCTATTTTCTTCCATCTTTCATAGGCTTGTGCTCAGTTAAGCTAATAATTTTAAACCATTTAATCCTAGTAGTTTTCTTGCTGAACATGACCCAAACTATTTCAAACAAGCATGCTAGATTACTGACTCTACAGACAAGAATTAATTCAATTGCTTTACTAGACTTGTATAAACAGAATATTGCTAGACTTGTATAAATAGAACATAATGGCAATAAACAAGTTTGCAATTTTGATAGTAAATACATTAGAGTGATCCATCAATAAGCTCTTTCAGTGAAAACTAACATCCATGTTTTGGTTGGGGGCAGATATGTTTTGATGGAAGAAGCAAATACCTTCATGAGAAAACTGCAGCCAGGAAAACTGTGGGAAACCTGAGAGTTAGCCCCTTTGCCCAGTGATGAACTCTTGACTCAAACCTCCCATTCCTGAACTTGTACAGCTGCTGTCACACTTTTTTCCAGATCTGTTCACAAATCTCCCTATCTGGTACCTCATCTGGTGATTACTGATTCACGGTGGGAAGTAACTGAGAGTTGTCCATTAAAAGCACCCTAAGACAAATGTATGTTCAGCAAAGTGTTCAAATACTGGATATTCCTGTAATCAACTTTAATTAACTAGAGTTAAATTATACTCTTACCCTTGTAGGTTCATATGAAGGACTTTGCTGACCACTTGTTCCCCAAGATATTGCCCCTGCTCGTTCTTCCATACCTATCAGTAGAAAGAAAGCATATGCTATATAATAGAATGCAAAGATTAAGGGAAATCACAGGCTTAAATTACGCTCCTGAAAGCATTCAAAAGATTCCCCAGGGAAGCTTTCTCCTGACTATGCACACCCAATTTAGATGACAACATGAATTAAGTGAGGATATATTCTCACAAAATTTGCTTTAAGCTTAGTTACACTGAATCACATTTGCCTCTTGATGACTATTAAGCCAATTTGGGAAGCTCCTCTTTGTATTTTCTTTCAATCCATTTGCCACCTAGTAATATCTGTGATCTTGCATACTTCATAGTCTAGCCTAACTGCAATCATTTGCAAACTCAATACGTCCTTGTTCTCTTCTCTGTCAAATGCTTTTTGGAAATTCACCAAGTTTGGCAAGCAAAAAACCATTTAGTGGTAGGACTGTGCTGATTCATCTTTAACTAGCTTGTTGTTTTGCATGCTTCCTAGGGCACTGCAACAACTTTGAACTGGATTCCAAAGAGGTGCCTCAGAGCAAGTGAGAACTTGAATGAAACACTTTAAATCAGGGATGTTCTTTCTTAGGATGTGAGGCAGCTGCAGAATCCTGGGAAAAGACACGGCTTCTTCAAAGGAGAAGAGTTGCAGAAAAGTGCTATATGTGAGCCCCATGGCTCTGAAATACCATTCTGGAAAAAATATCCAAAGTGCTGCATAGACTTGTTGCTGTTAATAGCACATTCCAACAATATACCAAGAACAAAAACGACAACACAGTAATTCTCCGAATCTACATTCATCCTATTTTTAAAGCAGTGTTCAACTGCTTCACTTTCAAACTCAATAAAGGAGGCTGATTTTACTGGTAACTGTTAGTAACTTTTATTTTTCCTCTAACTTGCCTGCATACATAACTGGACCCTTGTGGGTAAAAAGGATGTAACAGCTATGCTGAAATTCATATAAAATTAAAACAAAAACTTAAGTTAACAAATCATTTTTTTCCAAGAGACAAATGTGACACAACAAATGACTTGTTTTTGAGAATTCTCTTTATACAGTAATACCATATGCAGGACTTGCTCAAAAAGTACAAAGAAATGTCATTTACTAAGCAAGAAATACTAACTCCGTAAATTACAAAAGCAACAGAATCCTACCATACGATTAGCACATTATCATTATACAAGGCTAATTTTCCAAAACATTTCCCAGAGCCAAAGCCCTTTACAACTTTGCCACATTCTGCAGCTGACAGTGATGCAGTAATTTTATTGTCCTTGGTCCAAGAAGTGAGGAAGTGTGGTGGCTGGCACCAACAGAGACAGAAGTCATCCTTGGCATATCAAATTCTTTTCTCCCTAAGGCAAGGCAAAATGACCACCACAGTGAACACAAACACAAAGATCTTTGCTATCCAGTGCACAGAAAGAAAACAATACATTTTAAAAGGCTTGCAAAATCTACATATAGACTTGATTAAATACACTATATAGAGAAAAAATAGTTCTAAAATTAGCACCTATAGCTTGTATACAGATGCAAGTAAGATTCCACTCCTATGAAAGACATTCTCTCAAACATGTTTCTAATACTAAACGTATTAATAATGACTGCCTTTCTTTCTTGTGTGATCAAAATGCAATACAAGGAATACCAAGCTCTTGGATATGGAGATCGTCACACACAAAAATTATGGCTATTATGACAAGAATTATCAGGAGCTTGGTAGCACCTTTTTCAACATTTAATACAATTTTAGTCAGAAAAGGTACTACCAGCCTCCTGATTTTTTGCCACCATAGACTAACAGCGTCCCCTTGTTATATTTCTATTTCTGTAATATCTGTTTCTTGTGTATTTATATCTTGTATGTTCATTGTATATTGTTTCTTGTGTATGTTATCTGTAAACCTTCCAGGGCCCTTAGTGATTTGGAGGTCTATAAATGTAATATTAATCTTTTTTGCCATAGTTTGCGAATTCACAGAACTGTTTATGAGCAGGCAAACTGCCACTATTGGCAGAAGAAGAAAAGTGACCAGAACAAACAAGATGACACTAATCTCCTGCATGCTACTTGGACATAAATGGGAAGATGATAATTCCTACAGACATTTAGTTAAATATGGTCAAAGATGAAATCAGATTTTGCCCAAGTCATTTCTAGTATTCATCAGTGCTAGTACAAATCCATATCATTCAAAGAGTACAAATTCAAAGTGGAATAACACAAGGAAAGTCTAAGAATGGGCTTTTTATGACCAGGGCTTGAAGACAACTAATTGTTTCTCTGGAGATTGCCAAATCTTACAAGGAAAGTTATGGAACTACTGATCTAGGCCTTCTGAAGCTTTTTTGCAGGAAGAAAATACTTCCAAATTCCACTGAACTACAGGTTTCCCAGTATAATAAACTGTTTCTCAGTTGAGTATATGTTTGGCAAAACACAAGACCAACAATTTCTGCTACAAGGGAAAATTCTAAGTAAAAATAGCTTTATTTTCCTAGGCTTTTAACCTAATTTAATATTTTATTATTTATGTTAAGCTTGCATTGTAAATTACCTTTGATACATTTATATTAAAGAGAGGCATATTAATTCTTAAAAGCAAAAGCATTTGAATATAGGATCACTGAAATTACACAAAAAGAAACTTAATTAGATTAAAGCAGCATATCTTTCTGAGTTTCCAGAATACAGCAATTTTGGAATGAGGGAGATTAAAAGATGCCAAGAATGCTTACAAATTGAACATAGTGGATCTTCCAGGTTGCCATGCATCTGATTAGTGTATCAGAACAAAAGCTACAGCAACAAGGCATGCTAGCAAAAACAGAGGAATCAAGGCTTTCTTTGAGAAAAGATAGTGTTATTTAATTTTCCCATAAATTATTAAATAAGGAAGCTAACAGCTGACCACCAAGGAAGACGAATTTTGTGAGAAGTTACAACTCTACATTTCAACATAATAATGAACAAATACTGGGTGGCCGCTGGGTGAGATCATCCGGCGCCATGGAGTGAGGTATCATCAGTATGC